TATCGCCATTCCAGCCGGCTTGCAAACACTACAAGGACCACACTGCCGCGCGGCGCCAGCGGCAGTCGCGCGTTTCTGCGCAAACGCAGTGAGATCCTGTGGCCAGAGTCCGGAACGACTACAAGCCCCAGCAGGAGACAGACGAGAGCACCCGGGACGGATGAGTCGGCGTCGCTAGTGCCGGGACCAGGAGCCTCCGCGAGCAAGATGGCCGCTCCCGAGACGGAGGCCAAGGGGCGAGGGCACTAAGTCCGGACCGCGCGCCCTTCCTCCAGCCGCTTGCGCCCCCACAAAGCCTCGCGCTTCTAGCCAACAAATCCACATGGATTATTCTCGCTGTGGTCGCGAGGCCGTTCCCGTAGAGCCTTAATTGGCCCAGGGAGAGAACTCGGGCATTTCGCTGCTCTGAGCTGGAACCTCTGGGAGGTCTGCTGCAACAGGTGCGACACTGACTGCTCCATGCTCGCGGGCGCGGGGAGGCTTGGCCTCCCCCGGGGCGGCCACCTCTGTTGGTTGCTGTGTGCTTTCACCTTAAACCTCTGGTAAGTGGGTACTGAGGGAGGAAAAAGGGGCGCGCAGGCGGACCCGATGCTCCTCGCCCCCAGGAACCCGGACTTCGCACCCACTGACGTCCGAAGTGGGTGTGCCCTGCTTTCTGCGTTCTCACCGTTGTTCTTACCCTTTTTTTCCCCGATTTGCAGCGAAGCAGAGGCTCCGGTGCTCGAGGAGAAGTTGTCAGGTGTGTGATTGCCCGGGAATCCCGTACCTCTATAGTTTGTTTTTGTTATTAATGTCTCTTCTTAGTGTACCAAGCACACAGATAGAAAAAGGAGGTGCCACATGTGAAAGGGTTGCTATATGGGTAGAGCCTTTGTGAGAAATGTTTTTGAATAGTCTTCGGCTGGCCATTTTTCTCTCTCCTTTTAGTGAGCACTTCAACTTCGCCATGTTGGCTGGTGGAAGAGTTCGTAGTGACCGAAGAGTGTACTCCATGTTCTAACTTCCAGATTGTGAGTTTGTTTATGTGCATTGGTTTTTGCCTGCATGTATGTCAGTATGACGGTGTCAGATCCCCTGGAACTGGTGTTACAGCCAGTGGGTGCTGGGAATTGAACCCTGGTCCTCCAGAAGTGCAGCCAGTGCTCTTAGCCACTGGGCCATCTCTCCAGTTCCCAAGTATTTGGGGTTTTTTTAAAGCGTGCCATTGCTTCTTCTCGGAGTCTTAGGATATGTTCAGATCTGAACTTAATTACATTATATTTTATTTATTTTGTTTTATTTTATGTATGAGTGTTTTGTATGCATGTATGTGTACCTTTTGTGTGTAGTGCCCTAAGAATCCAGAAGAGGTCATCAGATCTGTCTTATGAGCCACTATGAGGGTGCTGGGAATGGAACCCTGTACTCTGGAAGAGCAACCAGCGGGCTTAACCACCAGGCTGTATTTATTTATTTATGTATTTATTTATTTATTTAGTTAGTTTGTTTTTGAGACAGTATCTCATTAGTGACTCTGTCTGGCCTAGAACTCACCATGTAACCAGCCTGGTCTTGAACATTATGTTTTTTTTGTGTGTGTGTGTGGATCAAGTACCAAAGAAGTCAGAGGACAACTTGAGGAAATTGTTTCTCTTTTTTCCACCACATAGATGCAATGTATTAAGCTTGGCTACATACGTCTTTACCCACAGAGGCATCTTAACAGCCCTCAAATTTGAACTTAAATTCCCTTTGAAAATATGTCCTTTCCACATTAATGATAGTATCCAGCTCATAATCATGCCCTGTTCATACTTTAATACATCAGGCTCTGGAATTTTCCCTCACCTCCTAGATTGTTGCCTTCCTCACCCTCACCTTCCACGTTGGGACTCTTCATTAGCTGCCCATTGCCCACCAGCCCTGGTCCTTTCTGAACAGCAGGTCTCTGTTTCTTCTGCTCCTCCTTCCTAACATACTCGTTTGAACCTTTCTTTTGGTAGAAAACAACGCCTGAGTGTGGTTCTACAGGGTATGTGGAGAAAATCACATGCAGCTCATCTAAAAGGAATGAATTCAAAAGGTAAGGGCGGCTTCTCTACTTTGAAGTGCCCTCTCTGATCGGTTGCTGTGTAGCTATCTCCTGGTCTTAATATAGTTTGGCATACTGGAAAAAGGAGGGGATTTGAGCCAAATAACCCTTAATTCCTAATCCTAATCATCAGTGCTATGTTATTAGCAATGTTTTCTGATAAAATACATTGGTTAGAAGTGTGGAATGTAACTCATTGAAGTACTTGCCTATTGTGTAGGAGGCCAGGATTCTAATCCCCAGCATTGTTTAGAAAGAAAATAAGTTGCCAGTTTAGGGAGCTGGACAGATGGCTCAGAGGTTAAGATCACTGACTGATCTTCCGGATAACCTAAGTTCAATTCCCAGCAACCATGTGATGGCTCATAGCCATTTATAATGAGACCTGATGCCCTCTTCTGACATGCAGGTAGAACAGTGTGTACATAATAAATAAATCTTTAAAAAATGAAAAAAGAAGTTGCTGGTTTGGCTGTCCTGGAACTCACTCTTTAGGCCAGGTTGACCTTGAACTCAGAGATCTGCAGTGCTGGGATTAAAGGCATGTACCACCACACCCAGCTTTTTATTTATTTATTTTTCAAGACAGGGTTTCTCTGGCTTTGGAGGCTGTTCTGGAACTAGCTCTTGTAGACCAGGCTGGTCTCAACTCAGAGATCCATCTGCCTCTGCTTCCTGACTTCTGGGATTATAGGCATGCACCACTTTTTTTAAGGAAAAGAGTTGAGCTTAGTAGTACATGCTTATAACCCTAGCACTTAAGCAGAGGCAGGAGAGTCAGGAGTTCGAGGCCAACTTGAACTACATAAGGTCTTAAAAAAAAAATTCAAATTGGTTAATGCTACTCTGTTTATCTCACCAGGGACTGAAGACATGATTAACTCCAGTTTCTCTTGTTTTGGGGTAGTATTTTGGACAGACTGAAATACAGAACACTAGTTAAGAGAGACTGACCTTTCCTATGAATGACTCTCCTTTTCTGCCCTCAGCTGCCGTTCAGCTCTGATGGAACAACACTTATTCTGGAAGTTTGAAGGCACCATGGTGGGTGTGGCTTTAGTCTTCGCTTGCCTTGTCATCATTCGTCAGCGACAACTGGATAGAAAGGCTCTTGAAAAAGTCCGGAAGCAAATTGAGTCCATATAGCTGAATCCCACTGTATTATGCTGGGTCTTGCAGACTGTATCTCAGGTGGAGAAGGTTCAGTGAGCTAATTTGCACTCTAAGTCTGGTAGTAGCACCTTTTCCTGACTTACTCTTCCAGACCATTAATGAGCACAATAAAACGTGAAATAGAGCTGGGCATGGTGGCACACACTTATAATCCCAGCACTTGTGAGAGTGAGGTAGGAGGCTCCTTGGTAAATTTATAGGCAAGACTGTCTTTAAAAAGAAAAAAGTAATAAAGGAGTAAAACAATTTCCTTTTCTATAATAAATTGGCTTTGGGGAGGACTGGGTGAGGTTGCACATGTCTTGAATCCCAAACATGGATGACAGAGAGACCGATCTGTGAGCTCAAAGCCATTGTTTCCATATATCGAGCTCCAGGTCAGCCATGGATACATAGTGAAACTCCATCTCAAGAAAATCGATTAAATTATAAGAGACCGGCGAGTTGGTTCATTAATTAAGAGCACTTGCTTGCTCCTACTAGAGGGTCTGGGTTTGATTCCCAGCACCCACATGAGGTGGTGATTCTAGTATCAGGAGCTCTGTTGCCTTCTGGCCTCTGACACGTGCCTGCAAGTGGTGCGCATAAACTCGTGTAAAGAAATATAAACACAGGAAAATGAATAAAAATATTTCTTTTTAAAAATTTCCCCTTGTGTATAAGTGAACATAAGCCTGCATGTGTGTCTGTGTGCCATGTGTGTCCCTGGAGGCCAGAAAGGGTGCCAGGTACTGTGCTGTCACTTGGTGCGGGACCTGAATACTGGTCCAACAAGTGCTCTTACCCACTGAACCCTTCTTCAGCCCCCAAATGATGAACAAGCCTTTTTTTTTTTTAAAGTAATTTGATATAAAATAGAAGTCATGGGGGCAATGAGGGAAAGGGAATGGTGATTTAACAAGTAACAATTATCCCTTCTTTTACTCTTAAAATGTTTCTTTTTAGAGTTATTTATCTTTTATGTGTGTGAGTGGTTTACCTGTGTGTACAAGCATCACGTGCATGCCTGGTACTCTCAGGTCAGCAGAGAGTGTCAGATCCCCTAGAATTGGAGTTTGAGATGGTTGTGAGTTGCCATGAAAGTGCTAGGGATCAAACTCCGGTCTTCTGCATGAGCAACAAATGTCCTTAACCACTGAGCCATTCCTCCAGTCCCCCAACTTTTATTCTTATTTAAAATTTCTGGGCTGGCAGAGTAGCTCAGGTATTAAAGTGCTTGGTGAAGTGGCTGGAGAGATGGCTCTGCAGTTAAGAGAGCTTGCTGCTTTTCCAGAGGATTTGTGTTGGATTCTAGTACCTGTGCTTGGCAGAGCTCACAACTGCCAGCTCCCAGAATCCATTGCCCTCTATGGGCCCAGGCACACACATAAACGATGGTGGCCCATGCCTTTAGTTCCAGCACTCGGGAAATAGAGGCAGTCGGATCTCTGTGAGTTTGAGGCCAGCATAGTCTACAGAGCAAGTTCCAAAACAGACAGGGCTACACAGAGAAACCCTGTCTCGAAACAAGTTTAAGAAGTGTTTGTTTCATAGGCATTACCACCTGAGTTTGATCCCTGGAATGCATAGTGAAAGGAGAGAAGCTAATAGTTGCTCGTGACCTCCATGTGAGTTATACACACAATGGCACACAATTTCAAAGCTAAATGTGGTATGGCATACTTGTAATCCTAGCACTTGGTAGAGGAATCAGGAGTTTGAGGCCAGCTTAGGCTCCATAGTAAGAATTTGTCTGAAGCAACAAAATTTTCTGGGAAGAATTTTAGCTAGAAAGTTTATTTCTGAGTTAAAACTTGCTTCCCTTTGATCCTATCCCCAAAGAACAAGTAAAATCACAAATTCAGGACTGAAGTATTTGAGTATTTGGAGTTAGAACTCCAGGGGTGTGGACACCTAATGGGAATTCAGATGAAACAGTGACGGAAGCTTGTGTGTATTCTTGTGTGACTGGAAAATGGTCAGCTTACATTTCATCTGCATGCAAAGTTCCCCTGCTCTGCCCAGTGGGTCTAGCCTTTGTTCCCAGCTTTAACTGTGTCTTTGTTGAGCCATTTGCAGTCGGGACTTCAGGTAGCACCTCCAGTTTGGACTTTACCGCTGGGATCTCTGACCTTTCTGTCATGTCCGTATGAGTCAGGATATTTCTGGAAATCACTGAGAAGAAAGTGTAGTGGTATAGCATTTGCTTGGGTAGGAGACTGGCCAAGAACATTCTTACTGTTTGATTGTTTTAGAGAATAGTTTTCTGGTTCATGGGGGTAGGGGATGTCTTCTGTGCCCTTGCCTCTTACCTCCATGAGGCTGATAACCCTTAGGCCTAGCTTCTGGTTGATTCTGAAAGGGGCTGAAGCTGGGCAGGATGATGAGAGTCAGTGAAAAAAGGAGAATCTGAAAGGAGCAAGAAGACACTTGGGCTTTGGGGACAGCAGAGGAGGAAGGCAGCATCAACAGAGAGTCTTTACTGTTTCAGGCTTTGGAAAACAGAGCTGGGTAGTGCGGGTATTAAGTGGAAGTGTGGAGGATGGCAGAGGTAGGGGGAGACGGGAAGCATAGCTGGTACCAGAATACAGGTACTGGTCTGGGCAGCTCTGCTGGAGGTCTGAGCAGTGAGCTTCTGTAACTGGAGAACCTGTGCAATCAAGGAGCTAGGAGAAGAATAAGGAGTCAGCTCAAGAAGAATTTGCCTGTGGCTGCACCCTCCCTCTCCTCCCTCCGGACACTGCGTCCACTCACGTGTTCTGCCTCTCGAGCTCCTGTACTTTTCTCTGTAGTTCTTGATTCTGTGAAGAACAAGCTGCCACTCTAGGGAGTGTGGAGAAACAGAGCAGGCTTAGCAGGTGGTCCCTTAACATGCTTGCCTATGTGAGGAAGGGGGCCCAGACAGGGTCAGAAGGATGCAGAAAGGTGAGCCCAAACATGCCTGCTCTCCAGCCCGTCTATGTATTCCTTCTTCCGCCGCCGGCTGTCCTGAGCTGACTGCTTGTTGCGGATTTTCCTCCTGATCTTCTTGAGTACTCGCTCTTCTGCCTGGAGGCCCAGGGGCTTCAGTACTGGGCCCTTAGCCTCCCACAACTCCCCAACTGTCCCCTGCAACCCAGGCCCTTTAGAAGTTGAATGGAGTTCCTGTGATGGAACACCCTTTGGGGGCAATTGTTACCTTAGTGAGGGGTAGGTGAGAGGGCAGACAAACCCCTTCTTGCCCCAGCAGATGCTTCTCTTCATCTGTCAGGAACAGGCGTTGGCAGGACAGCTGGAGGAGTGGCAGAAGGTAAGCAGGATCATCACCTGCTTCCAGCACTTAAGCTGCCCATCCCCACCCACCCACCCGTGTGCTTGCACTGAGTGGTGAGGTGAGGTCAGGGGCAGAAAGTTCATTGAGACAGGCTCTGTGGCAAGCCAAATGGCCTTCCTGAACCTGAGGAGGGAGAGTAAGGTGTATTGTCTACACATAAAACCTTGGCATTATGACTAAATTAGAAAGGGCCTGCTCTGGTCTTTCTCTTAGCTCTCAGGGAACTCAGAAGAGAACTTGTATGATCACTATGGTGGGCTTTGTTGAATTTCCTTGTCAGGTAAACAATTTGGCCATTAACTTCCATTTGGTAAAATATTAGTTGTCTATCAATCACAGGGACATTTGATTCATCATCCCCAGGTTCTAAGCTCCACCTGTCAGATCAAGCCCACTCTGAGACAAGGAATTTCATTTATTTGTTTGTTTGTTTTGAGACAGGCTTTCTCTGCAGCTTTGAAGCCTGTCCTGGAACTCGCTCTATAGATCAGGCTGGCCTCAGACTCACAGAGATCCACCTACCTCTGCCTCCCAAGAGCTGGGATCAAAGGCAAGGTGTGCGCCACCACTGCCTGACTAGACAAGGAGTTTCTAAGAACATCTAGGCTGTCTTCTCAGGTGAAATGTGTGGTAAGGGTAGATGGTGTCTGGTTAAGCTGAGCCCATCAGCTAAGAACCCTTCCTTCTCACTGGCATTCCATTTATTTATTGTGTGGGTCTGTGTAGGCATGCTTGTGTCACAGTGCATGTGTGGAGGTCAGAAGATAATTTTCAGGACTGAGTTTTCTTCCACCATGAAAGTGGGGGTTAGACTGAGGCGGCAGCTGGTGCCTTTATCTAATAAGTCATCTTGTTGGTCCTAGTATTTCTTTTTGAGAGATTTACACTTTGAATTTTTTTTGAGGGGTTGGTTTTGAAGACAGGTTCCTTCTGTGTAGTCTTTACTGTCCTGGAACTTGCTCTGTAGACCAGGCTGCCTCTGCCTCCCAAGTAAGAGATGTGTCTCCATACATGGCATTTTAAAAAAGTGTTTTAGTGTTTTGCCGTTATTTTTTTTTTTTTTTAAATGTGTGTGTGTTTGCTTGCATGCTTGGTGCCCACAGAGGCCAGAAGAACATGTTGGTTACCTTGGAACTGGAGTTACACACAAGTGTGAGCTGGGACTTGAATTTGGGTCTCATGTCAAGGCAGCCAGTACTCTTAACTAACACTGAGCCATCTCTCCAGGCCCTGGATTGTATTTTTGAGATGATATAATACTATGTAGGCCAGGCTGGCCTTGAATTTATGGTAAACTCTTTCTGCCTCTGCCTCCTATGTGCAGAGATTTTAAGTGTGTGCCACCATACTCAGCTTACGCTTCACTTTGTAATTTAAGAATAACTTATTTTGGCTGGAGAGATGGCTCAGAGGTTAAGAGCACTGTCTACTCTTCCAGAGGTCCTGAGTTCAATTCCCAGCAACCACATGGTGGCTCACAACCATCTATCATGAGGTCTGATGCCCTCTTCTGGCCTGCAGGCAGATATGCAGACAAAGAGTAAGTTTGTAACTGATAAGATGGTTTAACAGTTAAAGCAGTGGCCACACAAGACTGACAGTCTGAGCTTAATCTCTGGAACACATGTAAAGGTGGAAGAGAGACCTGACGCCACAAAGTTGGCTTCTGACTTCTATATATATGCCATGGTATACATGCACTGACCTTCTCCCTCACATTTATACACAATAATAAATAACTTTGAAGAGAATAACTTAATTTGGTGTTTTATTGTGTGTGCTTGTGTCTGTGTATGTGTGAGAAAGAGATGTAATTGCACATGTGTGTCCCGGTATAGTGCATGTGACTAGAGACCAAAGGGGTAATACAGGGGCTCTGCTCCATCACTCTCCACCTTATTCCTCTGAGATTGAGTTTCTGGAGCGAGACTGATGATCAGCAAGCCCCAGTGAGCCTTTGTTTTAAGCCCTCAGAGCATGGGCCTTGAGGGAAGACATAGCTGTTTATGTGGGTGCTGGGGATCCCAGCTCAGGTCCTCGTGCTCACATAGCAAGTGCTTCTTACTGACCCATCTCGAAGCCTCTGGCTTTTGCTTTTTGATGGCCTCTGGCTCTTGGCCAAATTATTTCCTATCTCCTTCCTGATGTCTCCTTTTTTAGTTGGCGTTTCTCCCGATCTCTCTAACCAACATCTCTGAGAATGGAACACAGAGGGCTTTATCTAAAAGCAAAACAAGCACAAATTCTGTGCTGATATGCAAACCCCTAGCATGGCTTCTGGTCTCACCATCAAGCACAGTTTTAGAGAACAGCTAGGACCTGTTTTCTGCCTTTGAACTCAAGCCAAGGCATACATCCTAGGATAGAGAGGAAGATGGTCTAAGCTTGACCTGTATTGGTCTGCAGAGTAGGAGGGTCTAGCCCACCTCTGGAAGGTACACAGTAGGGCACTCCACTGCAGCATCAGCCACGGGGCAATTGTTCTAGTGCAAACACTTGCTACTGTTTCTCTATCACCCTGTCCTCATTAGCCAGGTGGATTCCCAGGTGTCCTGTCCCAATTCCCTTTCCTGACCCAAGGCTGAGAGAGTAGCTCTAACTGAATGTAAATGCACACTAGGTCTGGGTTTCTCTAGGGCTTCGACTGCAGGTTCCCTCATCCCACCTGCTACTTAAGTAAGTCCTTACTACCCTAGCCCCCAAGAGCTCTCTCCCCCCATGCTTTCCTGCTTTTAGAATAGCTTGCTTCTCCTGGACCTTCAAACCACCACCAAAAACTGGGGCAAGCTAGTTCCTCATTAGTTTCCCCTCCCCTTTCCCCTGCACTCCCATTTACATAAGGATATGTTTGGGGGGGGGGGACAGCAGTTCTAGCTGGTCTCAAGACTTACCAGGGCAGCAGGAGGTGCTGGGGCTGTGGTGCTGGTTCTTGGCAGAATGTGTCTATGAGCATCTGAGGGCAGCCCACTGACTGTGCAGGTACCAGGCACCATAAATGCAGGACTCCACTGATCTGAAGAAGATAGACTGGGGTGAAGGAACCAGAAGACAGTGATGGCAGCAGGGACTGTGAAGTGATACAGTAGAACTTTCTCCCCTAAGCCACATGTCCAGGGCAAGGACTGAAAAGGCTTTGTCGTCTTTCCAAAAAGTACACCGACCTATCTGGATGGAGATGAGTCCAAAGGTTGGCCCTGTTTCCCGCTGCGTGCGCTGCAAGGCCCCTGCCTCATAAACAACCTCATAGAGGGCAGGGGAACTGGGTTCCTGTTGGGCAGGGGAGCTAGGGTCTTCAAAGACACCACTGTTGCTACCAGGAGATGTTTCTGAGCAGTATATCATATTGGGATCAATAAAGAGGTTCAGGAAGTCATCAGGTTCACTCTTCTGAAGGCCCTATATAAGGAGAGGTATGAATGAGTGTCTGGAGAACTTTGGAAGTCCTACCTGAGGCTACTCATACATCCTTTATGCTTCAATTTTGATGCCTTTCCTTCTTGGACCTGGAAATTGTTACAGTTCATGTCTCTTTTGTGGGCTCTGTTACCGGACCTCTTTCCTTGAGGGAACTGAAGTCTCTTAGGCTTCTAGTCAGAGTTGTCTGACCCTCATTCCCACTTCCACTCAACAAACTCACTCAGCCTCAGCCCCCACTCATCTCCCAGTCTCACAGTCCTGTTCTTGACGTCTAGCCATCAGAACCTTTGATGGAGGACAGTTGAGTCCCAGCTCCAGGAAGGATCCTGTTGAGAAGATATCTTCTGGGGGCTCCAGCAACTCAGGGCACCCGGGTTCCATGCTTCTGCAGGAAGGTAGTGGGGTAGTCAGAGAAGGTAGGAGGCCATTTGTTCCTTATACATGATAAAGAAGTCTTTTTGCCATGCTCCCCTTTTGGTTGGGGTACTTAAGAACGTTGACGGATAAACTTGGGCATCCAGTATTACCCTCCTCACTCTAAAAGCAAACAAACAAAACAAAACAAAACAAGAAACAACAACAGAAAGAAGGTAGGAGGCAGCTGCCCCAGGCCTCACAGCTTCTGGCTTCCTGCATTCCCTGATAGGTTATTCCTTCCCTCTGCTTACATGCAGCAGCCCCTTGCAAGAAAATTCACTTCAGGCCTTGTCTTTTGGGTTCACACAAATAGCCCCCTTGGGTATTACCTGTTCTTTTCTTCGGAGAGCTTTGCCTTGCCAAAGCAACCTAGCTCGCTGGAGGCCAAAACACTATACCTTTTCTTTCCTCCAGGATCTTGTATCCTGGTCCTGCCCAGCCAAGCCCCGCCTATGCCGTCCACGGAGTTTGGGGGGATGGGGCACCTGGCCAGGAGCCACTGTCTGGGCCTGCTTCTGGGAGTAGGATTAAGGCGCTGCCCATATGTAAACTGAAATAAAACTATAGGTACCCCTCCTGCCCCCTTTCCGTCAGTTTCCCCAGTGCTAGTAGATATTGCTGAGGGCTTGATGTTTCCTCAGCAAAGAGCTGAGATGGCAGTGACCAGCACAAACCTGAGCGTTCCATTTAGAAGCCACAGTCTTTACAAGAGGGAAACCATCTCAGGGTAAAAAAACCAACCAAGCCAAGGTTTGGAGGCGCCCCCGCCCGGTCCACCCCGCTAGCCGCGTGGCATTCTTCCACCCGTGAATCCTAATTGGACGTTGAAGACTTAGGGCAGGGCTTCCAGCCAATGGTGGACTACATCGAGGCCCACGCCCTCGTGATTGGCAACAATAGACAGAGAGGGGTCGCAGAAGTAATTTGGCTGAGGCTCTGGGTTCCATTGAGAAGCCACTGTAGGAAAGTTGAGTGAAAACTTCCGAGCTGAGGGTAGGAGCCACTGGGTTTCAGTTTGTTTATCTTGTGATTCTGAGGTTCCAAGTTATTACTTTCGCAGACAGTGAATAACCTGTAGCCTCCACCTCCTGGCAGCCAGTTGCACAATCGCAGCTATGCGGATCTGAGAACCACACCATTTGGGGCACTCTAGGGGCCCTGCTAACCCACGCAGGGACGCAGGTCAGGAAAACTGCCATGCTTTAGCTAAACGTTTGCTGTTGGTTTGAGGTCTTATTATTTCCATATAACTATCAGTTATTAGTACTTTTGCGTTTTGAAAAGATACTGTATGGGTGTAGTTTGAAAGCTGTTTGAGAGTGGGAGTTCATGCCTGTAATCTCAGTGCTTAAGAGGCTGATGCAGGAGTGTCCCTGAGGTTAAGGCCAACCTGGGCTACATAAGATCCTGTCTCAAAAACAAAAACAGGAGTTGGTGGCATACGCCTTTAATCCCAGCACTTGGGAGGCAGAGGCAGGTGGGTCTCTGTAAGTTCAAGTTCAGCCTGGTCTACAGAGCTAGTTCCAGGGCAGGCTCCAAAGCAAAACAGCTCCAAAGCAAAACAGAGAAACCCTGGCTCAAAAAACAAAAACAAAGCCAACAACAACAAAAAACAATACAACAAAAACTGTAACAAAACGCACAAACAGTGTATCTAATGACATGTCCAATAAATTCTATTTGTCTTCAAATCACACTTCAAGCTGACTTCCTAGAAACAGGAACTATGAGATGGTAGAACAATATAAAAGGAGAATTGAGGGATCTGGTGTGAGGCGTGGGCTTTAATTTAAAAATATTTGTTACACATTAAATTATTTACTGGGAACCACTAGTGTGTGTACAGTACACATAGTTTGCTACAGAAACGATTGGATGTGTCCCTGCTCTCCAGTCTTCAAGTATGAGGTTTTGACTCAACTTTGTTGACTTTGTTACATGGTTCATCTCCTGACAAATTGTGAGATCTTGTTTGTATTTTGTTTGTTTGAGAAAGGGTCTCTCTGTTTCTCCCTGGCTTGTTGAGGCAGGGTCTCACTGAACTTGTGAGATATTTGTGATTTTCTTTCCTTCTTTCTCTTCCTGTGAGGGCAGGCAATCACAGGGTTAGAAGGAAGATGGCTCACATGCCCTGCCCAGCTGTGGAGGCTGGAGGAGGACAACAACCAGGAGGCAGTTCTCACTTCTGATCGTGGGGGTCTTGGGGCTGGCAGTTTAGGTGGTTTTACCCACTTAACTATCCTGACATTTATCTATCTTTTTCTACTGTTTATTTGGTTCCTTTGAGATAAGGTCTTAACCTATGACCAAAGGTAGCCTCACTTTGGAAATGGTCCTGCTTCAAACTCCCAAGTGATGGAATGTAAGGAATGAGTCTCGACACCTGTCTGAAGAATTTATTTTCATCAGTATTCTTCATGTGATGGGCAACAGCTTTCAGGCTCACAGAGCAGATGATATTTTGCCAGTTTGACTGATAAGGAGTCATATGCTCATGGCTAAAAAATAGTAATTTCAAAATTTCAGGATTTGTTTGGCCTTGATCTAGTGTCTGATGGTCCAGGAGTGCACATCAAGTAAAATAGCGAAACTATGCTAACACAGGTGAATCCTGTGAAACTATGCTAACAGAACTATGAATCTTGTGAACCTTCCTCTTAGTGCACAAAAATCTGGGAGGTACATCCAGAATGTCCTAGTTTTCCGTATGGATATTTGACTAAGCCATTGCTACAAACTGGAAAGGAGCTGGAAGAAATCAGCAGCTAGAACAACTATTATATATAAGCATTTCCACATCTCTCATATTGGTCTCATAGCAACCCAGAGAAGACAAGTTAGCTTCTTTAACATTACTCAGTACTCCAACCTGGTGTACTTTAATGCTAGCACTCAGGAAGCAGAGGCAGATGTATTTCTGTGAGTTTCAGGCTAGCCTGAGCTACATATGGAGTTCTAGGACAGTAAGGGCTATGCAGAGAGATCTTGTCTCAGGCAAAGAAAGAAAGAAAAGAAAGAAGATATTGATGTTTTAACCAAAATTGGCATTTTTTTTTTTTTTTTGAGACAGAGTTTCTCTATGTAATAGGCTTGGCTGTTCTGGGATTCACTTTGTAGGCCAAGTTGGCCTTGAACATGCAGAAGTCTGCCTGTGTCTGATTTCCTAATGCTGGGATTAAAGGCATGTGCCACCATGACAGGCTTGCCATTCTTTTTGTTTGTTTCTTTGTTTGTTTCTAAGACATGGTTTTTATGTAGCTTTGAAGCCTGTCCTGGAACTTGCTCTGTAGACCAATATGGCCTCTAACTCACATAACTCACAGAGATCCACGCTCCTCTGCCTCCCAAGTGCTGGGGTTAAAGGACTGCACCATTACTGACAGGCCCTGGCTTGGCATTCTTAAAAAAAAAAAAAAAAAAAAAAAAGGTAGTTTTTGAGAGGATCACACTGTGGGGTCCTGACTGGCCTGGCATGTACATTGTAGACTAGGCTGGCCTTGAATGTGCAGAAATCCATCTGCCTCTGAATCCAGAATACTGGGACTGAAGGCATGTGTCTCTATACCCTAATCCAAGATTTATTGTTTTAATTGTGTGTGAATGTAAAAGTCAGATCACCTGGAGCTGGAGTTACAGGTAGTTGTGAGCCTCCTCCCCAATGTGGGAACTGAGATCTGAACTCAGGTCCTTTCTAAGAGCAAGAAGCACTCTTATCCTCTCCAGCCCCAAATACAAACCAAACTGCCTGGTTAGGCTTTCTTGAATTTCCCAAGCCTGTCTCTTCTGTTCCTGCTGTAACTTGATGGAAGCAGATTGCTTGGATTGATGCAGGGCTTGGAAGAAAGCACAGTTATTTTTGCTGACATCTTTGGAGACCGAGAAATGTGGTTAAATGCATGTCAAGGGGCTTTCCAGCAGGCTGCTCCATGCAGGGTTGATGGAACAGGAAATAGAGTCAGCTGCTGTTTGTGCTAGACCTGGAAGGAACTTCTGCTTCTTCTCCATTAGCTTCCCTCTTCTCCCTGATGGATCAAGTTTTGCAGAGGAAAAAAATAACTTTCTTGGTCCCATGTCAGACGAAGGTAAAGTCCAACAGAGCTGCTGTATAACTCCAGGTGACTAGAATCAGTAATGATGGATGCATTGCCCAGTTCAAAACTACTGAGAGGGTGTTCTTTCCTTGGAATTCCTCCCACTCTCAGGAATTCTGCCCAACTTTCCCTTAATCTATCTATATTTGATCTACTTGAAATCAATTGCTCAAAGTGCATGTTAGGCATTCTCATCATAAATTAATATATAAGGTAATAAATAAGTTGTTTAGCTTGAGCTAGCCATTTTGCAATATGTAGATATACAAACACCATATATTTCAAAGTATCATCTTGTATACCATAAATACTTTTTTTTTTTTTTTTGAGATAGGTTTCTCTTCGTTACTGCCCTACCTGACCTGGAACTTGCTCTGTAGAGTGGGCCAGCCTCAAATTCACATATATCTGCCTGCCTCTGCCTCCCAAGTGCTGGGATTAAAGGTAGTTATCACCACTGTCCGGCCAATAAAAATTTTATTTAATTTTCTTTTGTGAGGCAGGGTTTCTCTGTGTAGCCCTGGCTATTCTGGAATTTGCTCTGTAGACCAGGATGGCATCAAACTTACAGAGATGGACCTGCCCCTGCCTCTGCAGTACTGGGATTAAAGGCATGTGTCATCACTGCTTGGCACATTTAATTTTTAAAATAAAATTTGGGCATCACTTGGGAGGCAGAGGCAGGTGGATCTCTTTGAGTTTGAGATCAATCTGTTCTACAAGAGCTTGTTCTAGAACTGTCTCCAAAACTACACAGAGAAACCCTGTCTCAACCCCCCCACCAAAAATTAAAATAAAAACAAATCAATAAATTAATTAAGTAAAATTTGGGGCTGGAGAAATGGCTCAGCGGTTAAGAGCACTGTTTGCTCTTCCAGAGAACCCTGGTTTCATTCCAGCTCCCACATGGCAGTTCACAGATGTCTGTAAATCCAGTTCCAGGGGGTCTGATACCTTCTTCTGC